CCCCCCCCCCCCCCCCCCGACATTTTTAATTAAGCTTTGACTGCTTGTACTACCGGCTATTATTAACAGTCGCCGGACACGCGTGGCAGAAGATCGGAGCTGAGGAGCCATCAAAGCGCATTAAATGCTTCCCCTGCTTCTGCCTGCATTGGACCCTGCTCTGACATGTCAGATATTTTGCGATCTCACCTGTTTGGATTGTCGGCCGCATGCGTCCGCTGAGTGCTGCACGCGTCCACTGAGTGCCGCGGCTGAATGAACATCCATTTGGGCTGATGGATCACTGGCAGTAATCCATCTGAACCTTAACTGAACTTTTACCTCTTTCAACCAGCCGGTCAGCGTGCAGTGAAATGGCCGTGTTTGGCAGGTGTAGTATGGCAAGCCATGTTTGCATTGGATTGTCGGCCGCACGTGTCCCGACACCGACCCGGCCACACATTAAGCACATTAATATGGTCCGGTCCGAATCTGGGTCGGGCCAGGGTTCGGGTTAGAAATGACAGCTCTACCCTGGACAGGTCGCAAGTCCATCACCTCTTCTGTGATTTTTTTCGATGAGGGAGTGTTGCGTGACAGAAGCGGAGCGCAGTGTCTGTAGCTTTTTAGTTAGTGCGTCTGTATTGCACGCCGCTAGCTTAGCGCTACGTTACGTCAGTGCCGGCAGTTGTTTAATGGTGGGGAGCGGGAAGAGTTGTGCGTGAAGGACTTTTGTTGTTGTGTGTTGATGTTTAAGGCTCCCTTCAGATAGGGCGATGACCCCCGCTACGTTCACTACAATCTGTATGATCTTATGAAACGTGGCTGAATTTCAGTAAATTTGGAAAACATCTTCAATGTGAAGACAATCCTGATGGTGCTGTCCTTTTATGCCGATTTCCATTGTCCAGTCTCACTACGACTCTACTCAGGTCTACACGGTCATGGTGGGCGGGATCATTATAGCACAGCTGCTCTAAACTTCTGCAACGTTAATTTATATCTAAGGCAAACACAGCATAGCAATGGAAAATAAGTGAAATAAAGTCAAAACACACTCACCATTCATCCTTCCAGTTTCCAAAAATGCTGTGGCAGAGTTGATGCCACCTTCCCTTCACCGATCGGACCCTGTAAATTGAGTCCATTTGGTCTTGCTCTGTCTGAATTCTGTCATCAGCCAACAAGCACAGAAATGTCCGAACCTCTTCATAGTATCACAGTGGTTTACTAGTTGCCATTTTTTATTGATCTTATTTTTTTGTTTTCTTATTAAATTCAAAGCAATTTTGTGGTTCCAAGGTTTTAAAAAAATGGTGGGTTTGATTTTTGTGAAGGACATGTTCATGATTGACATCTCTCTCTGGCCAATCAACGTCCTGCTGACATGGATGTCTTCAGCTAGACTCAACTCGTTTGGAATCTCAGGAATTGAATTGGAAGAGGCTGGGCCCAACCAGTAAAGATGCTCTGAAGCCCTGCCAAGTCAACCCGAGTAGGACCGTGTCAAGCCAATAGAAAAAGGCTTTCAGTATCACTGATTAGATTTTTTCCTACTTTTTTCTGTAGCCTGAAGATTCTCTCCTGCATCTCCACCACACTGTTATGAGTCTGCTCTGGCACATCTCTCTTAAATTGTCAGAGCTCAGCTAACTCAGCAAGGACTGCTGGAAATGGGTACCAGGGTAATGTGGCCCTACGTAGGAAAATGGGTAAAGAAAATAGATGAATGGATATTTGATATTCTGATATATATAGCTTTTTATGATAGACATTTGTATTGGAAAAATTGGT